ATCAGTAACAGAAACGAGGTTTTGATAAAAGAAGACGGTAAATAATTAGTTTACTCGTTACCAAAAGAAATATTTTTTTTTATTAACGCGGTTATTTTAAACGGCGTTATTCCCATCACTGCTCTGTTGTGTCTACAGAATGCGGTGACTGAGACAGTGAGGGTCTCTGCCCACCCGGCCAATCATCATCGTGTTTGTAAGTGCGTTACCGACACCTCTCTCTCCCTGGCTGCAGCTGAAGTGTGGCGGTCAGAAAGCCTCACACTGCTGCTCAACGTTCGACAAGCACATAGTAACGCACAACCTTCCGTCCCCAGTAACGGTAACGGCGTTGCAACGGCGGGAAAAGTAATTAATTAGATTTTTGCGTTACCTGTAAAAGAACGCCGTTATACTTAAACGGCGTTACTCCCAACACTGGGCAGTGGTGATAATAAGAGGAGTCAGTCCTGGAAATGTAAGGGTTTGGGTCCCTCAGCTGAAAGGTTTGAGGTATTTACAGTTAGAAAATAATCTTTATGTTTATTACTTTAGTTTTTATAACAGGTAGACAGTCGCATAGAAAGTTGTCAGTTGCAAAAACGAAAGTAGAGAAAAAAACGAATAGGACAAAGCAGGATGTACATCTGACCTGAATTAAGATGAGCTCATTGTGTACTGCAGTGGGTTTAGTAGTGCGTTTGTAGAGGAACGCCCAGACTCTGTTCCCTCTCATTCCAGCGGGTCTGTGTCATCCTTGCCCCGGGGCCACCACACATGCAGGCTCCTGCTCAAGCAACTCACACACAGGGATGTGCCTCGCAGCTTCGGCGAGCGCAGGGATCACAATCTGGGGAAATGCATGAAAGAGGGAGGGATCAGAGAAAGACCTAGAGGAGGAAAAATGGGATCAAAGGTGGATGGAGGAGAGGAAGTGCAGCATCAGGTAGGTGGAGGAGAGTAAAAGAAGAGGGGCATTTATCCAGGATGAGGGGTTGGGTGGACGGGAGGCCAGAAGGCATGAAAGGAAAGCGTACATCATGTTTGGATGAAGGCGGGGATAATGAAGGAAATATTTACTGCGATAACATGAACCAAGACAAAAAAGTTGACAGATAAGTCATGAAGTTTCCAATGGAAAGCAGCAACGATGGAATGTAAATAGTGGGAGAAGCTGTGTGCCAGCTGTTGCAGACCCGGTGATGACAGACGCCAGGTTAAGAAGTGAATTATTACTGCTGGTTGAGCTGCAGCGACATGCTCATCCTTGTTTTCCTCACTCAATCACACACAGAGAGTCAGAAGAACACATTTTAGTTAATAAACAACTCATTGATTCAGTATTATTATCAACTCTTCATTGATCGTACTTCAACATGGATTTACTCAACTTCAGGCTCCCTAACGCTAGGACACCCCATTCTGGTGAAGCACCTTTACATCCATCACGCTAATAAAAGTCAGCCTGTGTCGTAGCCCATTACGCCTGATTTATTTGATCAGATTCGTATTATTTCCTCAGTCCAAACCCCATGGCACTCTCCTCCCACCAGTGATTAAAGGCAGTAAATCAGGGGCAGGTCCTGTGCAGTGTTTACTCAGAGAGCCAGGCAGCTGCAAGCTGTTTGAGGCCCTTGTTTCTTGCTCTGTTTACCTCTGTTCCCATGGAGATCGCACCACCATCTCCCAAACGTCTGGAGCGGGGCCCTGGGCTGTTTTGGTTACGTTCAAAAGTTTTTAGCTGCTGCAAAGTCTACCCAGAGCTTGCAGTGACTTCACCCACTGCACAGCCATTGGAGTGATGTTGGATGTGTCGAGGAGAGAAAGAGAGGGAAAAGTGAGAGGAGAAGAGGGAGGGATGAAATCAAGGGGTATGGAGGCACTGGGTGGGGGGAGGGCGAAAAGCCAGGGAGCATTACATCATTGCTGGAGCAGAGTCAAGAAGGGAAGGACGTGAGTCGGTGGACTGACTGCACCTCTCCTCCTCTCGCTTGTCTTGGATGACAGCCAAGCCTCTTGTGTTCAGGTCCTTAAACTCGAGCTGCAGTCGGGGACTGGGACAGTAAAACTCAATGTGTGTGTGTGTGTAGACTGAAGTATGGGCATCCTAAGAGGTCCAGGAGAGAGTTATACAGGATTAGCAGAACAAAGGGCGGTTGTCATTTCTGCTCCAGTGGATGGAAAATACCAGAACGACTTAGAAAATTGACTCTGCAACAAGAGAGCAAAACAAAAAGTAAACGAGGGATTCATGGAGGGAAGAAGATCTAGTAATGATGTCATAGTGGAGTCAAGCAGGGTGGGGGTAGTGGTACGGTGCTGGGTATTGGGCGGGGATTCTGGAAGAGAGCTGGGCTGAGAGTGTGAGGCACTCAGCAATGTGAGAACAGCAGGTCAGGAGTACGGTGTCTACCTGCTCCCCCTGAGGCCCACAGCTCGGGCTGTTACCATCACACACACACACACACACACACACACACGCATGCACACGCGCGCACACGCACACACATGCACACACACACACACACACACCCTCTCTCTCACACACACACACACACACTTATGTGTGTTAGTGGTGGTCAGAGGGGCCGACGGCGCCAAATGGCAGCCTCGCCTCTGTCAGACCTCCCCAGGGCGGCTGTGGCTACAAGTAGCTTACCATCACTAGCAGTGTGTGAATGTGAGAGTGTGTGAAAGCGTCTTTGGGGGTCTAGAAAAGCGCTATATAAGTTCATTGCATTATTATTATTATTATTAATATTATTATATGCACGCACATGCACGCACGCACATGCACGCACGCATGCACACACACATGCACACACACACACAATCACACATGCGCACGCACGCACATGCACGCACGCATGCACGCACACATGCACACACACACACACAATCACACATGCGCACACACTCACATGCACGCACACGTGCACACACACACAATTTTTAAATCATTAAGTCAAACAATGACAAGTTTAAGTGAAAAATGTTTAAAATGGTTTCAGAAATGATTCTGTTTGCTAGAGACATTTCTGATGAACAATTAAAGACAAGAGCTGTCTGTCAGCACCAAACTCAGTGCGTCCACATGGACTGTGTTAGGTCCTGCCATCCCTTTCATTCACATCTTAACGAATCAGCAGAGTCAGCAGTGGGTTAATCCTCAGAGGAAGTGCTGTCACACAGCCGTGTTGTTTTTCCCTCCACCGGATCAGCAGGTTGTGTTTTGGTGTGTGCCGTGGTGACAGACACACACTTTGCTTTAGCTATTCTAACAGACAGGTGCAGAAGCACAACCTGTAAATGCTTCAAAGGAGGCTTTCTTCTCCACAAAGCAGAAGCCTGACATACCCATGTCTGCCCTGTCTGCCTTTGTGACTGTGGCAACTCTCCATCCATGAGTGAAGTGTAAATGAGACTAGACCACCGGAGGAAGCCTTCACTTTTAGGCCTTTAGCATTAATGAAGCTGTAGGACAGCACAGGTAAAACATGCCAAATGGAAGAAAATGTTTCCATTTCTGTTCCTTAATTTAAAATGCTGAGAAAAAAGAAAACAACTTATGTCTGCATAAATGTGATATAAATACGGTTGTGTGGATGCAGCGGTACCGCTCCACTACAGACCTCGTCATCTCCTGGCTTTAGCCACGTGTCAATGTCTGGACTAGCAGCGCTGCTCAGGAGTCAGACGTGTCATTAAACGAGTGTGATTGTGAACAATTAGGATGTTAGACAGGAATGACACACAGCCAGGAAGGTAATGGTCCTGTGTGTGTGTGTGTGTGTGTGTGTGTGTGTGTGTGTGTGTGTGTGTGTGTGTGTGTGTGTGTGTGTGTGTGTGTGTGTGTGTGTGTGTGTGTGTGTGTGTGTGTGTGTGTGTGTGTGTGTGTGTGTGTGTGTGTGTGTGTAGCACTCTAAAATGCCTGCAGCATAAATGCACATAGGCCTGTACAAATACAGGTGTTTATTCAGGTGGGAGACCATTAGCTCTGGTGATTTGGCCGTCACTCCTTTACTTCTCACTAGTGTGATGAACCCGTTTATGATGATCCCATGAATTTGTTCAGCACAGCTAACATAAATGCTCGTACCAGGTTTATGATGCTCGGGGATACTGAGCTGTATGGAGTGGTGAGCTCCAGTACTCACCCTGGTGATGCTGATAACTGGAGTTATCGATTCTTCTTCTGCAGGCTGTTAAATAAGCGTGCAGCGAGTACCATTTTTAGTCTGGGTAGAAGGCAGCTATGCCTGCGTGCAGCTCGGTGTTCGTAGTAACAGGGTCCTGAACGTGACTTTTTTCCACTTTCATTTCATGTGGTTGTTAAAAATTTGACTCTGTCCCTGACAACAATATTCATCAGCCTCCCCGCCTGCATCTCTCTAGTTTAAACTTGATCTAGGACTACTCACGGTTCTTTCTATTCCGACGTTGTGGATTCAGCAAATCTATAAACTACAATAACAGAATTTTGAAAACTGAAGTGAAACGCGTGGATGCACAAAGCAATAGACGAGTTTAGATGCAGAAACATTTTTAGCAATCATAAATGATGTAAAAACACAACAAATCTCGTCAGTGTTACATTACTTGTTAACATCCTGGATCATTTACAAAATGTTGTGCAAACCATTAGATTTCTTGCAAACGATTAAAAGTCGCGTACTTTTTGTGTTATTCATGAGAATGTCATGCATCTTTTGCTTATTAGTAAAGTAAATTAGAAATAAATTCTCTTTGAATTCTGCAACAACACACCCTTTGTGCCAACTAGTAGAATATTTGCTCATCTTGCCTGTAATTCCATACCGTCTCTGCTCGGCTCGTTGCCCTCTGCCATCACAACACACGGTTTCTTTCACATCTTAGATATGATTGTATAAAAATCGATATATATTTGTTAGAACATGGCACTGAACATTATTATCTTTGTTATTAATACCAATGTGTTTGACAAACATTTGCACATGACTAAACAAGTGTGCTGACCACTGATGTGTGTTTCCTGTCAGGCCCGTCCCCGGCTCCCTGTCCTCTCTGCTGCACCTACGAAACAGACAGAGACAGCCTCTGCCAGCCTCCATGCCTGGAACTCTGCCAGACCCCACCATGCCCGGCTCTTCGGCTGTGCTGTTGCCCGTGAGTAACAACAGATTGCATGAAGCATGTTAATCAAGTGTCCTTCCATCAGGACTGATGTGCTAACGGCTAGGCTGCCAAGACCAACGTGGATAGCTGCTGTTTTAAAGCTCCAGTCTCTTAAAATTCTATTATAATGATATTTTGTAAACCTGCACACAGCTATCCCAGAAGACTACACTTTGCTGCTTTTGGTGATATTTATGCTTCGATTCCCCCGATAACACAACATGTTGGTGGTGTTTCTGAAATAATATTGCATAAGCAATATAAAATGTCTCAGTTTGTAAGACACTTTGGATTAAAGTGTCTGTCAGATACATAAATATGAAATGTAGGCGACTGGAGCTGTGCAGCAATGCAGCTGTTAGCTCATCAGGTCTGCAGGATGCAAACCGTATTTAGATTAACTCAGGCAGCGATCTAAAACAGGTACAACTGTAATCATTTATAACTTTTGCACATAAACACATTTTAAAGGGGCCCGAAGTCCACTGAACAAGTCATCTTCTACAGGAAAACTACACCGCCTGCCCAAAAAAGTCGCCACTTGGATTTAGATAATCAAATAGGTACGAGCTTCCTATATAATTAGTGCATGGCAGTGACTTGTCCAAGGACACAACTACTGCAACAGACTGAGAGAGACTCGAACCTGCAACTCTCCACTTACGAAACAGGCACTTAACTCTTCTGCCACCATGGCTCAAAATACAGTTTTAGAAGACCCACATTGTGCAACAACATCGTAATGCAGAGAAAGCCCTTAACATGAGGATACAACACGTGTTCTCAGTGTAACACAAGCCAGGCGGTGTTTATGGTACAGAACACGATCCCTACCATGCTTATTAAATTAGGAGCTAAGTGATTTGGGGTAGATTGACGGCTCAGGAAAGGGGTGCAGGTTTCAGTGATATTTTTACACAAAACACACTTACTGCAATTAAGGTTGTGTGTCAGGTTCTAGACCCGACTCTCTACGGACACCGAGGGAGGAGGGGAGGGTCAGGCAAGGAGGGGGCTGCAGAGAACAAACACACACACACAGACAAACACACGCACACACACATGCGCGTGCACGCACACGCACACATGCTCGTGCACACACACACAGACAAACACACGCACACACACATGCGCGTGCACACCCACGCACACGCAGACACACACACACACACATGCATGTGTGCATGCGCGTGCATGTGTTTATGCACACACATGCACACACACACACACAAACACACACAAACACACACACACAAACACACACAAACACACACAAATGCACACACCAAAAGCGTTTAGTCACTGAAACAAAGGTTTCGTCTTTCCAGCTGGCGCTGCATGTTGCACACTGAACACATTATCACCCGGCACAGGTGACCTCTCACCCCTGTCAGCTTACCCAGCTGATTTCCTCACATTCAGGTTTTAGCTGACCTCTCTTACCCTGGTCAGCCAAAGGCAGGTCATTAGTGCATGTGTACGTGTGTGCGCACACACACACACACACACACACACACACACACACACACACACACACACACTCCTGTTGCACTGGCTTCCTGTGTTAAGTCCCTCCACTCTGACTTCCTGTTTTGGGTCAGCTCCAGTTATCATCACACAGAGCCGTAAGTCTCGCACTTAATTGTAAAGCTCAAAACATCAGGGTTTGAGAAAGACTCCTTTGACACCTTAAATAGCTTGTGAGTCAACCTGCAGGTGTCTGTGGTACAAGAATGCATCTCCATATTTGACTGTTTCAATACTGTTGCCATCTTCAGATGGAGAGACAAATGTCCATGGGTTCGAACATGATGGGCATGCAAAGTCCCACCCACAGCAGCTCCTGCTCCTCTGCTCACATTCCCTCAATGCACTCAGAAGCCAAACTGGTGAGTAGATGCTAAACGTTGTACGGAAATATACCAACTTTTACACACACACACACACACACACACACACACACACACACGTGCAAGTGTTGCAACTTTCTTTTCCACTGGGCTGTGCCAGTAGAGCTGTGCTCGTAGGCCTGTGTGGATGTCATCATTCGGTATGTAATCAAAGCCTTGTCTCAACCTGCCAGTGCAGCGCTGGAGACTCGGGCTGGAATAATAAGCCCTTTATGTGGTTGTGGCTCGGTTGCCCACTGACTGCCTGATGTATATCTTAATGTACAGAACATGTTCTGTAGGTCCTGCAACTTGTTAGCACTAGTTTAACACAGCGGGGGGAAATCAAATGACCTCACCCTTCACAAAAAGGCAGTTGTAGCAGCATGAGCAGGAGGAGAAGAGCACAAATAGGCTGGTTTTTACACTTAAAGACTCTCAGACCGGCAGAGCAAAAAGCTTGAGGGAAAGAACAAGTGTTTGTTTTTTTGACTTTGCACGTTAGTAATGCTCCAACACTTAACAGGATTCCTGTGTTGTACGTGAAAACCTGAACAATTACCCTCCAGGTGATAAGGATGGATTATTACTGTAGCAACGTGGCTGACCACCAAACGTTGTTTTCAAAATAAATAAAGCAGCGAGTCAAAACTTCGATATGAGTCCGTAACAGCAAGCTCTGGCTGCTCTTTGTGTTCGGAGCGGCTCCCAGATAGCAGGCGCTTGTGGAGGAAAGAGGAGGTAGCAGGGCTCGTTAGAAGAGTTATGGCTCTGATAGAGGAGAGTGGGAGCAGTCCCAGGGCATTTCATTCCCCCTCTTCCTCCTGCTCTCTCAAGATTGATCGTCTCTGTAGTCTTTAGAATCTCCTCAACTGTTCCTATGGTAACACACTTGGGTAACACAATATTAGTGTATTTGGCTTATCTCCCCTCTGGCTGTCATCCAGCCCCCCCCCCCCCCCAACCCCCCCCCCATCTGTGTAATTGAATTGTAAATGCTCTGTTAGCTCTCCCATAAACATACACGCTCACCGAAGGGCTGCAGACCTCTTTAAACCACACAACTTTCTGGTTTGTTGGCCGTTCAGACGAGAGGCAGAGCAGAGCAACTGAATTTGGATCAATTGAGATTCTGTTCCCTGATGTCGGAACAGGACTGATGGAATTCCATGATTGTGGACAGAAAGTGAGAGACTAATTGTGTTATCTGGGTGCGATCTCCAGCGCAGGTTTCACAAGCATAGACGAGGTCTCTAATATCTGTAATATCCTCGCTCGGGCCAGGTCGATAAATACGGCCTCGCTATCGGATAACTGGGCCATGATCAGGCCCATGTGTCCCCTGCGACGTTCTCGATCCGGCTCTAATCGCATTACCCTGACCATGTTGACTTGCCGCCAATTGGAAATCTCCGCACTGAAACCCCACACCTCCGAGGAGCAGACCTGGATGGACTCTTCCTGCTCTGCATTCCCACCATGAGAGCGGAGAGCGGGATAGAGTGGGATTTTGACAGACATGGAAGAAACACATGGACTGACAGGAAGAACGAGAAGAGGAGAGGGGAGTTGGAAAGAGAGAGATAGTATTGATGTTCTCACTTTGAAAGAATTTTGTGTGTGAACTGAAAGTTGGCCCAGATTGTTCTGTGCATTTGCTTGCATGTACTGCAATAAGGATGTTTTTTGTAACTGGAGGCACTGGTTGTGGACTGGTTGCAGGAGTAATCCTTCCCTGTCATGGAAAGCATGCCCAGAGACCAGGCTAATGACAGCTAATTGATTTTGCGGTGGGCCTGAGCAGTAGGGAGGCCTGTCTCTGGTGTAAATAGTTAATGAGCCAAAGGACTGCTGTGGCCCTTGGGGGACTCATATCTCACTCTAAGCTCTCTGTTTGTGCTCTTTGGCCCAAAGACTGTATCTGCATCAGTGTAATTCTTTGCTGTCCAGATTTTCCTCCTTAAGTACCATCGTTTAGGTGATAGTTTATCGCGACAGGACGGGCCAACCACTCAGGTTTGTGGAGATCGGACGGTTTTATCAGCGTTTTTCCTTCACCTTCTTGTTAAAGACCAAGTGCTTACGGCGCCGGGTGTGGTTGAGTGCTGCTCTGCTGTGGTCTGGGGAAAGCAACGATGCGGGTTGTGTGCAGGAGGCTGACCCTCGCAGCGTGGAGGAAACACAGCGGAGACCAAGCCAAGTTCCACAGCATGCTGGCCAAAGCATTACATCACCACTCAGAGCCAGTTCTCCACAGGGCCTTGCAAACACACACACACACACACACACACACACACACACACGCGTGCACACACACACACACACACACACACACATCCTTGCACAGTCAAAAAGCAACAAGCTAGCCTGTCGGGTGGTTGGGAAGACAAAATTAAACCAGCGGGCGAAAAGCTAACCTGAGCAGTCTGTAGAGTCACTTCCTTTCATCCTCAAGTTTATCTGACTTGGTGATCAAAAGTATGTCATCAGTGCCGAGAGCTGATCGCAAGCGTCTTCATTAGAGAACAACACCCTCGAATGTCACCACGGCTGGTTTGAGAGAACGTCACCATTGTTCTTTAAATGAGAACTATGTTTTCCACACATCCTGCCTGCTTCCTGACGTCACATTAAACAGCCTTGCAACACTTTGCTGCTGGGGCCTGAAAATGTGGTATTTATTATCTCCCAACTATCTGTTGTTTACAGTGTTACTAAGGACAATACATTTGCCAGTAAGCGTCGGGCTGGGTGCTGAGATGTTTATGTGGTAAACAACACTATATGTTCTTTGGCTGCAGCCTGCTGGACTGGCCTGTGGAGCTGGCACCAGAACAGTGAGTGACATAATCCCTGGCACGCTCCATGCCCAGTTTTACTTGAAGAGGGGGGAAAACTGTGCTGCCCTTAAAGAAACATTTCATTGCTCACAAGAGGATCTATGGTCAAAGTTTTTCTACTGCGTCGCTTAGGGTTGCTTACAGAAAGCTCACTGTTCTGAGGTTTCTGCGTGGTTTTAAACATTTGCAGCAGGAATTTGGGTAAAAGATCAAGTGAAGTCCCCAGCAGGTTACAGGTAGGGTTGCCAACCGTCCCTTGAAAAACGGAATCGTCCCGTATTTAGAAACACAAGTGCACGTCCCGTATTGAACTCAAAAGGGACGCACTTTGTCCCGTAGTATAGTATGGATCAAAATTAGTCTGTAGTCTATTACCGGAATTAACGCTTTGTTTGAAAGCCAGCCCTTCGCCTGCTCTGTGACCAATGAGCTGACTGCATGCTTACACACGAATATGACGATACAGATTACCGCTTATTTCATTGGTCGAGGAACGGTCGCTTGGGGAGAAGATACCGGAAGAAAACAGACGACAGCAAACAGCACGGCCAACCAGGAAACTAACGCCGACACTGCTGTACAAGTCTCGGACGACAGTACCCCTCCGAGAAAGAAGAAAAAAGGCTTCAAAAATACAGGGAGGAATGGGAAAAGGAAAATTCCTGGCTGGAAAAACTGCGCGATAACACCTATAAAGCGCACTGCACCGTGTACCGGCGCAGTTTTTCCATAGGGCATGGTGGACTCACTGACCTCAAGCAACATGCGTCTAGTAGTAGCCACATGAAAAACATAAAGGACGTGAAATTACGGGGAACCCTCGATCAGTTTGTCGTCCACAAGGCCACGGCAGAAGCAGATATGGTAAGTAAACATTGCTTTTTTAAACCCTCTGGTTAAAGTGAAGGTATTTATATGAAGAAAAAAAAACCACTGTGTTGGGGCTTGTTTACTATTATTTTTATTATTTTTGTTGTCTGTTTATATGTGTATAAAAGCTATACAATGTAATAAATATACAATAAATGTTTTCCATTTATTTACCACTGTAAGTGTTCTATGTGGTGCTTATAACCCAGGTTTACTTCTTATCTCCATTGGCAGGTTAAACATCTCTATGGATGACCTTGATGACGAGTGTGTCACTGCAGCCAGCCTTCTGGAGCACCTCACCAAAGGACCTCAGGAGAAGGAAAAGTGGCAGTCCAAGGGAACAGCAGAGAAGTGTATAGAAATTCTTCAGGCAGCTGACCTCTCCAACATCCAGCCTGTTGTATCGTTTGTACTCAGCATCCCATCTTCCACTGGATTGGCAGAGAGGATTTTCTCTCTCATGAAGAATAAGTGGACTGATGTGCGGAACAAATGTTCTACTGAAATAATTAGATGTGAGCTCATTGTCACTCTAAATTGTGACATGTCTTGCTCAGAGTTTTACTCTGCAGTACTGAAAGACAAACAACTCCTAAATGCAGCAAGATCTCAAAAGAAATACAAATGGAGAAAATAGTCTGTTTTCACATAATGTAGCATTGAGCTTTTGAGTTCATGAGTTTGGACTTTTTTTTTTTTACTTCAACCGTAGGCTACAGTCAAGGCCTTTGAGGCACAAATATGTTTACAGCTTCTCCACAGACTTTCTGTTTGCACTTTTCTAATTGCACTCAATGTGCAGTTACAGCGTTGCTCTTTCTGTTGTTTTCTATTAATTTATACAATTTTAAGTTAAGCAGAACAGAGTTGTTTTAAAGAGAGCTATTTATATTCTAAAAAGTAAAGCATAACAGGCTACCGTTTAAGAAAGAGACCTACTTTTTTTTTTGTCATTTTGCACAAAAAGTTGAGCATAACAGTTTTCTGTTTAAGAAAAATACCTTTGTTACTTATAATAATTTTGTAATTTCACGCCATAAATAAATGGCTAAATGATCATTTGTTTCCCATGTTTTCATATCACAAAGAATATGCATCTTCTTAAACCAACTTCAAGTCAAATAGTAAAAAAAAAAAATCCTTTCACACCCACACACAAAAAAAGAGCAAAAAATCACCACGCTGGGAAGGGTGGCCTGGAGCGGCCGGCCCTGCCTGCGAGGTGTCCCTTATTTATTTTTCAGGGAGTTGGCAACCCTAGTTACAGGAAACAAAGGTTTTCCTAAA